AATCCTATATTTAGAATATTATAGACTTAATTGTAAGTATTGGGATGATAGCAATCTCAAATGTTTTAAATAATCTATGTCATTGTATTGGTTATAGCTGAAGAAAGTACAACTATCTTTTATACTGCCTTTTTTCAGTTGAAATACTTCCCTTTTTCTATGCTGTATTGGAATGACTTGAATTAAGTCATTCATATACATTATTACCCCGTTTATAAGGAGATGTTCCATATATCAGTTCAATACCCTCAAAGATATTTCTGGCAGAGTAACTAGGCTGACAGAATTGGTGGGGGGGTGTCAACACCACTGGTAAAACAAAAATTCCTCTAACTTGGTTTCTTTTTGTTTCTTTTCTTCCTTTTAAAGAACAGTCTGATTGCAAACCTGGGTACAGACATTATCGCTTAAAAGTCAATAGGTCTAAAAGTTTAGATGCAAAATTAAATATATAATTATGTAGGTGTAAAAATAAATTAGAAGAACTAAACTTTGTTCTTATTTTTTCTTTCTTAATAGGCAGCAGATGAACCTGCCTACCTGACAGTGGGAACTGATGTCAGTGCCAAGTACCGTGGTGCCTTCTGTGAGGCAAAGATTAAGACAGTGAAAAGGCTTGTGAAAGTCAAGGTAGTATCCTGTGGTTGCTGGTGATTTTATTAAAGCATTTTGTTGAAGGGACTGTCAGGGGATATTCTAGTCCTGAAGACTAGGAAATGTTCATCACCTCGCTGTATGAATTTTAAAGAACACATGAATGTCACTTTTCATAATTGTTTGGTGTGGGGTGTTTTTTGTTTGTTTTTTGTTCTTTCGGGTAGTGGTGGTGATCTTTTTTTTAGGAGGATACTAGAACTAGAACGAGCTTTCACATTACCTATTCTTGCTACTTCTTTCCTGATCACGGTTGTCTTCTGTCTGTGCATGCATCAGTTTCACAGCAATCAGTTTTGAGGTCACAAATAGAGGATTATGGCTTTACATGAGTAATAAGGAATAAGAGCAACATCTTCAGAAGCAAAAGTTCCATTTCATTCCAGCTGACATTCTCAGTTTCATAGCTTGAAACTTAACAGGCAGTACCAAAATAAATCAACATAAGAGCAAAAAGATGGCAATAATTCATTTCTTAGACCATGTTTTAGAAATGTCCAGGACCGACATTTGTTAAGTTTTGAGCATCTTGCTGCCACTTCTAAAACAGCATGCTTTGGCTGTAGCTGAGTTTTACACATGCATAGTACTGGCATGTAATACTCATTCACATTTACAGGTCTTATTCCAAAATAACGAAAAAAATAAGTCATTATTTCAGTGTTGCAGTATTGTTGTTAGCTAGTGTGGGAAAACAAGAATAAAATGTAGTTAAACAGAATTTAAGAATTCAAAGTAATAACAGAAATTGTTCTTCTGCTTTGTTTTGTCAAAATCTTCCCACTTCCTGCTTTCTTGTCTATTGTCCAGGATATGTAAATAAGGCATTAGTGACCCAAAAACCCTTAACAAATAGAGATAAAAGCTTCTTTTTATAACCACACATCTAAATTTTCATGTGCTTTAATGCTTAGATGAAGTAGAGCAAGCTATCGGCCTCTTCAGTTACATATATAGATCATATCACTTTATCAGAGTGCTTTTCACGGAAAGAAAAAAACCCACAATTCAGATCTCGGAGTCTTTTCCCCTGTTCTTAATGAGTACTTTTAGAAATTTGTGATGTTCTTTTGAAATCTGTGTTAATGAGAAGCTCTGTAGGAAGCAGCATGCTACCCTTCCTGGTGTGACATCCTTGATTTTGTATCTGTATCTTTGGTCTGATAGAGTATTTGGGCTGTTAATAGGTGAGAGTTTCTTTTTCTTATTAGAATCCTATGCTTTATTACTCGATGATAAGATTTGGAAGTATATGAGGCTGCCGTTACGTGGTGGAAATTTCTGTCACTGTATCTCGATTATATTCTAACAACTGAAGTTTTAACAGGCTAAGCCTGATACTGTAATTAAGAGCGTGTAGGCACACCCCAGCACACGTGCAAAGAGTCCAAAAAGTTTAGTAGTCTTTTCTGGAGTAGCAGGACAACCTGTATTCATCCCAATGCCGATACAAAATTTTAAATAAAAATTGCATAAACTGCATTGTTAACCTGAATGTGTGTTAATATCAACACTATTTTAGCATGCCACTAGTGTTGTATTCATAAATACAGCTACAGTGTAGACTATGGTTGGAGGTTAATAGGGGAAGCCTATTAACCTATGAAGATGTCCTAAAACTGGACATCTTTATAGGTGGAAAGGAAGCTCCTGGAACTTTGGATTCCTGAAAAGAAATAGGAGTTTGGGAACTTCTTTATTAAAACACCATAGGTGTGTTTGCTATAACAAATGGTAGTGAAACAGTTAACAGTGTTGATGTCTAAATATTCACCTTTTATGTTTCTAAACCGAGTCTTTGCAAACTCAGGGGTTCAAATGGCATAGGCTTACTTTCAGTCTGTCTCATCAGTGTTATCTTCTCAAACACAGGATTTTAAAGGGAGAAGCATAGTTTACTTACACTGTAACTGATCCTTATTTTCATTGCACTTGTAGTGATTCGCATCTTTACCATAAAAACTTTTATCTTGCTCAAGGTAACAGAAGTGTTTGTATTGTGGTCAGTTTGGTGATTTTTTTGATACATATTAAATAGAGAGAGCTTTTTATTTTGGTTGTAATTTAGTACTCAATGTGTTGTTAATGAAGTGCTACAGTTGAAGTAGAGAGAAAAAAAAAACCTGCTTGGGAGAGAGAAAAAACCTGCTTAATTATTTGATCTGGAAGCCCAATTCCAGGTGTGCCCTGGATTGCATCAATATCCAAACTGACATCAAAATACAGTTTCTTTGCCTTGGAATGACTGATGTTTGATTTGCCCTGTTCTTTAATTATGATGTCTCAGATTAAGTATTAAGTGTGATACTTGGGGCTTCCTATGAGTAAAACTGTCCATGCCAAGTGTTTTGCATTCAATAATGTTTGAGTCCATTTGATTGATAAAGATCTTATTTTCCACGTTGTTGTTGTTGTTATTATTACAGTTTCATATGCTTTTTGTATGCTATTAAAAATAAGATGTGTATAAAAAAGTTTACGAATATCTTTCAGGTAGTCCTGAAGGGGGATAACTCAACTCAGTTAGTGCAAGATGACCAAGTGAAAGGACCTCTAAGAGTACGTATATTGCATGCCTTTTGCTTTTTTTTATGTAGTCACAGAATCGATTTGTAAAATTCTAAATTTTGATGCTGTTTAGGTGGGTACCTGTTCTACAGAATTTAAATCAACAGGAGGAGGCTTGTTGCTTTAGGTCAGATTGATTCTGAGTAATTAGTCTTAACTCTTGTAGGTTTTAGAGGCTGTTTATGCTTCTCCATGTAGTGTACTCCGTATGCAAACAGTTTTGCACACACAATGATTTTGTATCTTGTAAGACACAAAAATTCTCTTAGAAGTAATGGAGAACTTGGTTACAAAGCTAAGTTCAAACCCATTAGACAATAGTAAGTACTATTGTTCTAACTGCCTTTTAAGTAATTGATGTAGTTTCTGTAAAAATATTTGTTGATTTGTATTTTTGTATCTAACAGTTGTCTGCTAAAATACATAGCTGCATTATAAAACACTGACTGCAAATAGAGCTCTTTAGACGAGATTATCTTTTTTTGCTATTGTCTTTTCTCTAGCTACTGCAAGAACAGCAATGCATGTTGTAATTTGCTACTGAAATTCTGATCTAGCTGACAGTATAACAATGTTTAAAGTGTAAGAAATAGTAGTAATTGCATGCCCATCAGTAATGAAGTAATACTTTGATTGGAAATAAATATGGAGATATTCAATTAGCCTTCTATTACTTCTTGTGATGATGTAAGTCATGCTGAAATTAGATGTTCTGAGTGTCTTACTGCTTTACTGTCTAGTTGCTGTTCAGCCTTCATGCTTAAGGACCTTTGTTCTTACCAGCCAAGTAACTAAATTTTACAAAATAACAACTAGCTAAAACAAGTCTTTAAAAAAATAAATCTGGCTTGCTGGAAGAATTAATGTGTACCTGTTTTTTTCCATTCTATGAGTTTGGGATTACAAGTAACCTTGAGATACTCCTTTTTGCAGGTTGGTGCAATGGTTGAAACCAGAATGCCTGATGGATCCTTTCAGGAAGCTGTTATCAGCAAGTTGACAGACGCTAGTTGGTATACTGTAGGTGAGTAGCCACGTGCTTTCATTTATGGTCTCTAATCTTTGAACAATATATTTTTAATTATAGGTAATAACGTAAGTAATTATATCTTGTATTGTAAGATCAGACATAGATTTTGTAGAGGACTCTTGTAAGTCCTCCAGGTCTTGTTTCCTTTCCCATTTAAAGTAGGATAATAATTATTTGATGTTCAGGGGGGCTGTTGCAAAGGTAATTGTGGGGCTGAATAATCAAATTTTATTTGGCACAACGTGTATACTGATGTTAATGTCACTCACTGGAATTCAGAATAATTTTTGCAGACTTTTAAGACATACACCTTGTAATTGCACTTTTAGCTGAAAACCTGTGGCATGTAGTGAATGACTGCTATATGCAACCTTGTATGCAAGAAAAGCATTGGTAGCACCACTATGCATTCTGAAGCCATTTCTCTGGCTCATGTAGAGTTGAGGGTAGTGTTTTGTATAAAACAATAGAAGAAAGGATTTAATTTTTTTTAAAGAAAATAATTGACACATCACACTTTAAAAAGAGGGGACATTCACTTACAATGTAAAGAACTGCTTTAAAATAATTTTCAAATAATGATTATATCTGAAGTGAAATGGAAACCTACTTTGCTTCCCATGTTTGGAGGCTCATGAGCTTTTCTGTTACTGAAATAGAAACCTCAGAATGCAGAGTCAGCAAAATTTCAGTGTTGAACAAGAACTCATTGCAAGATAAATTTCTTTATTTTGAATAATTAGAATTGCTTATTCTGATCTCTAGATTTTTTCTGAAACAGCTTTAATGTCAAAATGACAAAACCCAGCAACATTCAAGTAATACTAGATAAGCAAATAAAAACCCCACAATATTTTAATCAAAGAGCTTGACAAGCACCTGTCCTTTTTTACATAAAAACCTTACAGCGGTGGAGTGTTATATTCACTAATAGTAGCATGGAGGGAACGTGTTCCTCTTAATTGTCCTGTACATGCTACTCTTCGGCATTTCTTTTGAGATTCATACTTGCAAATTTAAACTGTTTCTTACTAGCTGCCTTGTATGCCAAATGTATTCAGCTTTTCTTCATATTATTTTTACTCTCTCAAGGAGTCCTCTATCACATGAATTGTCAATTATTTTGATTCATTAACCCCTTTTTTAAGATATAAATAAGAATTCAACGTTTCCATTGGAGTAGGTAAGGTTATGTCATCTTTGGTGAGATCAGGATAAGGCTCTCACTGCAGATAATTTGGAAGGATTTATCACTTTATGGTTATTATTGTTATTGCGTGCTTTAAATATAAGCCAGTTGACTTACCAGTTGACAAAGCTCACTTGGTTCTCTGCATTTTTCTTCAAGATTATACCATTGCTGTAGATGTAGCTGTAAAATTGTAGTATATGTTGTGTGAGGGAGGAAAGGCAGTATCATTTTGGAACACAGAAGATTTAAAATCTACTTGGATTAGTACTATAATGTGACATACTCAGTGAAGAACATTGGACCTTCAACTTTGTTTTGTATTGACTTAGATGTTCACTGTTTTGATACAGAAGAGATAAGAAACACAGTATTGCACTCATACTTTCATGCTGTATGGATTAGCATTTGCATTTTAAAACTCTTACTTATTTTAGTTTTAAAGCAGCACTTTTCATAGAATCATAGAATAGTTTGGGTTGGAAGGGACCTTGAAAGGTCCAACCGTAGTTTTAGCTATTTCTCTTTGAATTTGGAGCAGAAGATTTACGTCAGTAAACCAACCCTACATATTCCTGCTTCAGTGATTAAAAAAAAAAAGCTTTAAACTATTAATTGATAAAACAAACATACTTGTCTTCTTACATTTGACAGGTGAAGCTTAAATCCCCTGTTTTGGGGGTGAGTTTTGTCTTTTTTCTCTTTTTTTTTTTTTTTTCCTTTCCTTTTGAGCAGTACAATTCTGTCAGAAATCTTTCTTTGATGAGCAGGTAATTTGAACAGTGAATACATGCTCTGCCCTGTATTAGTGGATTGTTGTTTAGATTTAACAAGTTGTTGAACTTGGCCCAGTAATGTAAGAGATAAATCCCGCATGCCATAATTTTCACTTTATATGTTTATTAAAGTGCAGTTCCTCAGAAACTTGAACCAATGGATTAATTTAATATTGTAATTTTCTTTTCTCCAAAAATATGTTTTGACAGGCAGAATAGAGAAAATAAAAACTCATGTTTTCCATATGCAAATGTATTAACACTGCTAGGATTTTGTAAAAATTTGGAGCTGGGGGTGTGTGGGGGATTTGAGTAATCTTATGGTAGGTTAACATGCAGTACTTTAATGTGGCATGTAGAGTATATATACCCAGGACTATGAAAATACAATTTCAACACATTGGAATTGTATTTAGGTCTTATGAACATCTTTGTGAGTGGTGTGTGGTGGCGTGCTTATTGGTCTTGAAAGTACAGGTAACACTGAGCAAAGTAAGCAGATCATGAAGTTTGTGTCAAAGAAAACGGTTATTCTAGTTTTAAAATTGGAAAAGTGTTCTAGGTTGAGTACAAAAACATTGAGCTGTGAAAAATAAACCTTAGCTTTCGCCTGCTGCTTCCATTGTATCTTTGTAGAAAGTTTTGGATAGATGTTAGGTGTATGTTTATGTTGCTGTGAAGCAATCCGAGTTGCATTCATTCCTTTTTAATAGATGGTGGGCTGTACTACTTGGCAGTCTTACTGACTGATTCAGTCAAAGCTAAAGAGTTGAGAGGAAGTGGATTAAACAGCCTTCAGGTTTCTAGAATGTCTTCCTGAATGTAGTCAGGTTTGAGACAGAAAGCACAAGGAAAGCTTGTGTTTCAGTAGTATGTGCTTTTCTTGTACTATTTATTTTCTGTGTTATGTAGCATCTCTTTCTCAGTGATCTAAAAGTAGACTGACATGGATAGGGAAACCAGTAATATATGCAGACAAACATTTTCAAAGTGTTAAGTACAAATACATAAAAAAAGCCACCAAAGCAAGCTGTATGCATGTCTCGTGAGAAGTAGTGATGTTCGCCTTTGCAAATGGGTTCTCTATTTCAGATAGGTATCTAAAAAGAAGAAAAGTCAGCTGAAACAACTTCGCTTTGTTCAGTAAGGTGAACCAGTAGAAATGCTATGTTGAATTTACTGTAGTAGGCTACTTTGCCACGAACGTAATGAAAGAGCCACAATGATGATCAGTTAGACAGGAGATACTGTTAAAATAGACTATTAGTGGTGTTTATGGACCCAAAATAAATAAGAATTTATTTTTATTGTAGCTGCCATAAAATCACTTTTTCATCTATTTTTACATAATAGTGATGTTACTGTAGCCATTTAGTTGTATTGAAATTTTCAGCTGTGATTTGGAAATGCTTTTGAAAATACCTTTGAAATTCAGCTTTTCAGTATAGGTAGGTGAAAAAAAAAAACCTGTTTGGAGTGAAAGTTTAACAATGTTTGGCAAATGCCATTGCACAAGTCATCCTTCTCATCTACTCAATTGAATTTGAAGTGGGATGACAGTAATAGCAGTTTCAGTTCTTTCAATAACAAATGGCTCAGTTAGATGTTTTAATCTTTAAAATGCAATTATTTAAAATTAACTTCCTTAATTTACAAATTTTAAAGTGCTGCATTGATGCTTTTGAAGTGTTGAGTATATTGCTAGGTGATAATTGCATAGCATTAGAATGGTCTATCAGATCTGCTTTTAGCTGAGCCAGGTTTGAATTATGGCTTACTTTTAGCGTACCTTCCACCTGATTCTCTGTTAACTTGTAAAATGCTTCAGGTAAATATTGAAATAATGTCTGAAATAACTAAAAAACCACAACAAAACCCAGACCACACCTTACAAAGTGCATAGTATTTTCCTTCTTTCACATTCTCTCTGGAATCTTACAAGCATTATCAGAATTTCAGAAAACAGAAATTCTTATGTATGTGTTCTCTAAGGAAACACTTTTGTATCACTTCTGTACAGAACTAGAAGTAATGTAATGTCTATATAAAAGTGAGAAACAGTATTTCAACTGAGCAAGCATCCGAAGAGTTGCAGTTAGAACGGCCTTTTTTATTGCCCAACCAAACGACAGTGTCATCTCCCTTTTGACAAAAAGCAAGTCAATAATCTGTATGTGCTTAGATCTCGTTAAGTATATGTAATTTAACTATATCTACAACTTTAAACAAAAGAAAAAAACACATCAAATACATTGAGCCTCATGCCTTGTATTTTGTTAGATAAAATCATGGAAAAGTTTTTCTAAAGAGAGAAAGAGAAAACATGTATTAACTTTCAGTAATTTTTCCTCTGAAATGAGTAGGAAATAGGGAGAAAAAAACCAAAGCAGTGAGAGGCATTTGCAGTTTCTAACAGACCTTGCTGCCAACAGTAGGGCTTTATATACTGTTTAGAGTGAAAGGGAGTGTGAATCCTATTTTTGTGAGAATTATGGCTTTCAGGCTTCATATAGTGCTTTTATGTAAGAGAAGACATGCCTCTTCTCCTTTTAAAAGTTATCATGAAACGGCAGAATATTTTAACGTAAATAGTAAAGAATTTATTTTTCTCATTCTTTTCAACACTGCATGAGTCTGCAAAGCCAACAAGAGTTTTTCCTTTTTGGCTCTGGCACAGTGTTGTACATCAACATGCCCCAACTTTGGCTGTGCTTGTAAGCCAGACACCGATTCTGAGACACCTCTGTGAGGCCCATACCTCTGCTTGTGCTGCTGTCTGGCCTCACATGGTGGTAACTTCCTTCTCTTGTGTAATTACTTTATTTTGCAGGTGGTTTGCAGGGAATGCTGAGAGTGTGTGTTAAGAGTAGTTAGATACCTGAGTGCTCATCCTTGTGCAAGTGAAGTTTTGGCTAGTCCACTTAAGTTGTTCTGGAAATGAAGTATAGTCTCAGCCACCAGTTGCATCACTCTGGGATACCACATTTAGGAGGGCAGGTGACAGAAACAAAAGGTATTAAGTATTTGGT